TCTTCCTATTTCGGCTCACCTGAGTTAACTCCTCCAGGTTTGCAAAAAGTCTCCATAAATCTACATCCAGGAGATATTCATGAGTCTGTAGATATTTTAGTGTATTCATAAAGATCTTTAAAAAAAAATGCAGATTACTTTCTGTTTTTGTTTTTTTTTTAGTTTTGAAACATGCCCTTTGCCACATCCAGGAGATATTCATGAGTCTGTAGATATTTTAGTGTATTCATAAAGATCTTTAAAAAAAATGCAGATTACTTTCTGTTTTTGTTTTTTTTTTAGTTTTGAAACATGCCCTTTGCAAGAACATTAAACACAAACCTACTGGGTATAACTTTACAAAACAAGGAAGAAATAAGTATTCTCAAGGTTTAAGTATTTTACTCAGTAGAAATGATGACATTTAAGTTTTATAGAACATATTGGAAATGTGCTCTTCAGTATGAAGTTGTTGTTGCCTATGTGAGCCCTAACAACATTCCTGTTGAACATAATCTGTCCAAATGGGCTTTCTCTGCTTCTTGGTGCCAAAGAAATCCCGAAGGCTCTCTTCTTGCCAACAGCACTAACTAGAGAACAAAACAACGTTCGTGCTGTGCTCTCATATATTTCTTTCTCTGCAAAAGACCCAAATGCCCTTCACTTTCAGGGAATTAAAAAGAGAGAATTAATGAGTTTATCTAATAACTGGTAAAATATTTTGATTTGGATAAAGTTGTTAAGTGCTAAGGAATACCTCAGGGGAGTCTTCATATTATTTTTATTTGATTTGATGATTTCATACAACGGGGAACTACATAGCAAGTCAGGAAAGCACAACTAAGATCCTCACTTACAGATTATCTGCCTTTCCTTTTAAAAACAGAAGAGAGATGAATTTATTGAAATAGGAATACTTTGTATATATAACATGGGAAGCATTCAAAATGACAAAGGGACCGATTATTTCAAGAATTTTAGATGTGGAAAGACTGGGCTTTAGATGGCTAACCTTCTCCAATTCCCATTCCTGTATTATTTAATTAGTGCAGAGTGGTTATTGAACTTGGGTCAGAATTACCTGGAGGCCTTGTTAAACTGGAGCTAGCTGGGCTCCACCCCCAGAGTTTCTGATTCAGCAGTTCTGTGATGAGGTCTGAGAATGTGCATTTCTAGCAAGTCCCCAAGTGATCCTGATGCCCCTGGTCTAGAGGGCACATGTTGAAAATCACTAAATGAGAGCTTCCCAAATACATATAGTATTGTTTGCCTGGTTATCTGTCAATACCCAAGCATTTAAAACAGATAATTATAAGAAACAGAACTCATTACTAGATATAAATTGGGACAATTTAGAAGAAATATTCTTTCTGTCGTAAGATACTTTGCTTTGCAAAAATTTTTATCATTAAAAAAAAATACCAAGTCCTCTAGTATATTTATTTTACTATACTAGTTACAAATTTTCAATTCGTAAGCAACTTTGGGAAACTCATACTCGTTGTGTAAAGAGAGGCACATATATGCTTTAAATACACTGGGGTATTTGAAAATAAACTCACACTGGCCTTTTCTTAAACACAAAGTGCAAATTTGAAAAGCTTGGGCAGCTTACAGTGGGCTAGAAAGTTCTGTGCTGTTCATTAGGGCAAGGGAGGTGGTATGTTTGGGGGTAGTGCTCTGCTGTGGACATTTGCTGGTTACCACCCAGCTTCAGTGCTCCCTGTCCCTGACAGAGCCTGGTTTTCCCCTCGGGGTCTAGTTTTCCCTATGCTGCGCATGTGCCACGTGGCAAGCTGACTCTACCGCCTGGGGCGGGCCTTGATTGCCTTCAGCCAATTAGCTCTGCTCCTTCCTTATCTAGCTAGAGCAGTTGGTTCTGGGTGGTCATGTGACTTAAGCCAGTCCAATCAGAATAAATCTCAAGACTTTTGCTGGGAATGCTGAGATCTCTCTCTGTTTCTCTCTCTCTTCCTCTCTCTATGAGCTCAAGGACAGAAACCATTTTATGACTACAAGAGGAACCAGCCACAGGATGAGGCGAATGCCATGAAGGCAGAGAAGAGAGATGGAAAGAAATTCTGTCCTTGGTTTTGACCTCCACTGATTAAACCAAACTTGAATTCTCTCCCACCTCCGTACTTTACAGTTAGTTACATGAGCCAATACAATCCTGTAGTATTTAAGCTAGATTTCTGTTACTTGCTCTTGTAAGCATCCTAACCGATATGATCTCTAAGTCTCAATTTTCTCTAGAGAATCTCTGTAGTTTAAATTTTGCTGAGTATTTAATGATGTGACTGACACTAAATCTGACTTACAGAAAATAATTGACATTTGTATAACACTTGATAGATTCCAAAGAAAGCTAATTAGATCATCACAATGACCTTATGAGATAGCCAGAGATGGTATTATCATTCCCCTCTTATACCTTAGGACAGGGATTGTCAAACCATAGCCTAGGGGCTAAATCTGGCCTGCCACCTGTTTTTGTAAGTGATGTTTTATTGTGACACAGCCATGACATTCCTTTACATATTGTCTATGACTGCTTTTGCATTGCAATGGCAGAGTTTAGTAGTTGCAAAGAAGACAATACAGCTTGCAAAGCCTAAAATATTTACTATCTGGACCTTTACAGAAACTATTTGGCATCTCCTGGTTTAGGATATGGAGGACTAGACTTTCCTAAGGCCACTTGGCAAGTCAGAGGCAGATCCGGAGCTTGAACTGAGTCTCCTAACACAGTGATTTTTAGCTGTGTAAGATAGTTACCAGGATTCAAAAGTGCTATGGGCGGAGTCCACCTTGGAGCCATGTGGCTCCATCCTCCCTGTGGGCTTGGAAGGAAGTTGCTCCTTTACCCCCCATGCCCTGCAGTTCTTCTACAAGGAATTCTCTGCTCTGAGCCTTACCATATCAGAGTTACAGCACTGTACAAGCTCAGGGGTGCCATGTACATAGAAGACCTCAGGAGGCTATCCAGCTGCACTGTATTACATGTGGACAGTAACCCTGGGAATCTGCAACTGTGGACCTGCAGCTGATAAAAGCATTCACCTGGTACTGTTCATGAGGAAGCAGGAGCTCCAAATGAGGAAGCCAACCAAATATAAAATGGACTGCCTTGAGGGTGGGTGTGAGCCCCCTGACTATAGGAGTGTGTAAACACAAGTGAGAATAAGGCAGAAGAGATCCAGACATGATACGAGAAGCTGGACTACTTTACTTAGAAGATCTCATGCAATCCTGAGAATAATTTTGAGAAAAGAATGTTCTTTTGAGAAAAGGATGAAGAGATAACCAGTAGTAGATAAACAAAAATAGTAAGTAGAATTTTCTTTAAGATCCCCTGAAAGGGAGAGAAAACCCCCCTTTCTTTTTTAGTATAGAAGAGGAAAACAAGTCCCCAAAGACCCAAGTTAATACTTTCCAACTATTACACAAATTAAACCCAGCATTACCATCTTAAGAACTAATAAATGATCCAAGAAATAAGTGCATTCACTGGTGAAAAGTTCCCACATGGCCTCTTGCTGCTTTCTCCAGTCTAATTGGTCAGTAGGAAGATTTTGATGTTTTTCCATGACTTCATTCCAGGTCTTATCCTGTACGTGGGGAGAAAAGAGAGAACAAAATGTTTCCACCTCAGTGGGTTGACCTGTTCATGCTTTGCTTTAGCCTGCAGTACTGCAGGAATAAGCAGTCCCTGAAATCATGGTGTTCCTCCAGCAGTGGCTTCTCAAGCTGCCCAAACCACAGCTTCTCTCCGTGTGGCTCTGGGATGCCAGTGTCTCCCAGTGCAAAGCATGGGATGAACAATATATGTTATTTTTAGTGTAAAATGAAAAGAAATTCAAATTGTTATTGTTTTGAATTATGCTTGAGAATTTAATAAGTACTTTTGAGTTCATTGCAAAAAAGCCTTCAAGTACCCAAACCCAGAACTGGGAAATCTGATTCCAGGTTCAACTGGCAAAGCTTATTAAAATTAACTATTGAAGAATCATGAACTAATATTGTAGAGCTTAAAAAGACCTTTAGAGATGGTTTTATCCAAGACAAATATAAAAATGGAGGCCCAGAGAGGAGAACAGTAGCAAGAACTATGTTAACATTTCTACAGGCTATGTGATCTACACAGTGTTCTCGTATTCATGACTTCAAGATAAAATGGCGTCTTTCTCCAGGTTTTGGTGTCTTAGAGCAGACCAGGCCCTGGATCCCCCCTGCCCCTTGCTTTTATTATGAACTAGGCAATAATGTGACAATTTAAAATAATGACCAAAAAGAAGAAGAAAAAATGGTGTCTTAGAGCAGACCAGGCCCTGGATCCCCCCTGCCCCTTGCTATTATTATGAACTAGGCAATAATGTGACAATTTAAAATAATGACCAAAAAGAAGAAGAAAAAAAAAAAGAAAAGAAAAGAAAAAGCCATGCCCCACAGTACACAAGCCACACAGTAAACAATTCGTGAGATACCTTAAGGCTGTAGAACTCATAGCCCCTGAAATCTGTAATCTTCATGGAGGAGAGGCAGTTTTCCAGATCAGATATGTGCTTGTGTTTGTCTTTACCCTGCTTAAAGATTGTTAGAAACAGGATTTTCAAACATGAATTCTTTAATGAAACAACTTCAGTAGCTTTAGTATCTTTTGCTCATTTTCTAAAATTCATGACAACAGAACACATAGTTTGTCCTTAACCACCAACAATTCCAAAACCATTTCTGAGCCATAGTCTGACTCACAGGACCACAGAATGCTGGACTAGGAGGACAGAGGCCATGAGAATGTCTGGTCCAAACCTCTCATTTTACTAATGAAAAAAAATCTAAGCACAGAATAGGCCTATAGCAAATAGGTGGACAAGTCTGATCCCACCCTGTGGGGTAACATGACATCCTTCACTACTTTAACTTTTCCAAACTCTGGACCGTAGGACTTTAGCATCAGAAGATGCCTTGGATGTGTTAGCTCAGCCTCTCATTTAGCAGATGACTAGCTAAAGCCCAGAGTGTTAAAGGAACTTGCCCAACATAGTAATTCCCTGCTAAAGAATACCAGAACATGTCAGAAACTTTAGTTTCCTTATAATGGGCCCTCCCAATTATTTCTGTTATAATCTTTATTCATAATACATTTGTTTTAAAAATCTGATTACAAAGATAATTAATATGATTATTGCAGAAAGCTTGAGAAAGAAAAACACAATGAAAAAGCTACCAATGGGCCGGCCCGTGGCTCACTCAGGAGACTGCAGTGCTGATAACACCAAGGCCCCGGGTTCGGATCCCATATAGGGATGGCTGGTTCGCTCACTGGCTGCGCGTGGTGTTGACAACACCAAGTCAAGGGTTAAGATCCCCTTACCGGCCATCTTTAAAAAAAAAAAAAAAAAAGCTACCAATAATCCCCACCCTCAGATAACCATTGAAAACATTTTTCTGATAATATTCATAATTAATTTTTAAATGGTGTTATATTTACACATCCTTTTGTAACTTTTTAAACTTAATATATTGTGAACTTTTTGATATATTCAGTATTCTATTGCAACCTAATGAATTGCCCACTTAGAGGGTTCATTTTACCAACCAAACCAGGAAGACGCTATAAAATAATAGTATGTAAGGCTTTCTAACGTCAAATTGGCTACATTTCAAATGAATGTTTATCACAAATAATTTTTCAACTTGTTCTATTGCCTCAGGGCACATGATGCTGGCATAGATCTGAACCGTGTTGTGGTGGAAGTTAATCAACTTTATGTTAATGAGCAAGAGAAGGCACAGGTTATCTGCTGTTGTGGGTAGGGGGCTCCCTGTGTGTCTGGAGGGAGGTCCTATAATATTTGAGAATATGCTAAAGGGCTGTGGCTGGCTTCTCTGGTAGGGTTAGACATGTTAGCCTCCACAGTAGCAGAGGGATCTTGGAGCCAGTTGGGGACCTCCTACAGCAAATGGGACATACGCCTCTTGGTGATGTCTGTAACTATAGTGACTGCATATTTTGTAAATAAAAAAACCAGCAGCTGGTTGGAAAAGAAAGAAGCAGAGACAACGGAAGCAGGGTTGGGACCTCCTACAGCAAATGGGACATACGCCTCTTGGTGATGTCTGTAACTATAGTGACTGCATGTTTTGTAAATAAAAAAACCAGCAGCTGGTTGGAAAAGAAAGAAGCAGAGACAACGGAAGCAGGGTTGGAGTTGTGGGAAAGTCGGTGCCAACCCCATATTTTGAAGTGCACTCACTGTGGCTTTCCATGGGTTTGACCCACCTCCTGGCTGAACAGCGAGGTGGATATTCCAGTGAGAGAGGAGAGACAGTTCTCTCAGTGGTCACATGAACTCTTCAGAGTAACAGACCCATTTAGAGCTTCATCGCTTCTGCTCTGGTGGCATTGGTTAGGAGAGGCAATGAGAAGCATTTGAAGGGGACTGGAGAGAATCTGGGGGATGAAGAAAACTGAGAAGCCACGGTAATTCTGGGGTCTCCAACTTAGTAATAAGACGTAGGTGGAATGGAAATTTGCAGCAGGCACTGGCGACATGGAACTGGATTGAAATTGAAGATTGACTAAATGTGTACATTTTAGAGTGGGTGACAAAGAGATGGCATTGAATTGGTGAGAGTGGACAGGGTGTTTGAGATCTCTGTTGAGAGAAGAAGGGAGGAGCATCCAGGTCTGGCTACGGGGACCCCTCACTTGGAGGAGCAGTGCAAGGTGGAGCTAGAACAGACCCAGGGCCAGACTGCCTGGGACTGCTGGAGACCAATCCCTGCTCTGCTGCTTATGAGCTGTGTGCTCTCAGGCAGACTGCTCAACTTCTCTCAACTCATTTCCCCATTTGCAAGATGCAGGTGATAATGTTACCTACCTTGTTGGATTGTTGTGACAATTTATGAATTCACATAACACAAACTATGACAAACATAAACAGGGACACATGTAAACAGAAACAGTGCTGGTAATGTGGTAAACATTATATATGTGTTAGCTCTTAGTACTAATATTGTTATTGATGGGTGAGAAGAAAGGAAGGAGGGAAGGAAGAAAGGGAAGAAAAGGAAACATCTGTAATAGGGGAAAATACAGCTTAGGAGTGTTGGTTATACTGATGTGGATTGTCATTTACATAGATATGAATTACTTGATAAATAAGGCTAAGAGGTTGAAGGAGGAAGATGTACTGATGGTAAGTGGACCGGATACTTTGTCCTTGTGAAAGTGAGGCTGCAAGAAATGAATGAGAACTGCTGAGAACATCTGTTGAAAACATTTTGTCATTCCTCTAATTATTCTTTCTTTGCGGATCTTCGCCACTGTTCTCTCCCCCACCCAATGTAGTGCAAACCATTTAGCACATTCTCTCAAGTTACACGTTGGTCTGACCTTCTCACTTGTGAACTGATAATGAACATCGTAATGTCTTGGATTTCTAGCCCAGTACTTGGCACATACAATTCCTGACACATGCATGTGGAGCAACTTGCTTCTTTGTGGGGAAAAGAATGGATTGATCCCAACAGCTTGCAGGAGTAGCCCTTCCCTAGCTAAGTCCTTCTCTCTGAAAGCACGTTTTATCTTCCAGGCAGCCCTTGGAGCTTCCCTGCCCTGGAGGAGCCTTCAGGACGGCTGGAGAAGGGAGAGGCCCCTTCTCCTGGGACCTCAGACCTGCTTGGTGACTGGCCCTGCCTCCATTTATGTGAGGAAGGAGCTTAGGAGAGGCTGCACCGTGGGTCCTGTCTCAGACCTGCCAGGGTAGCAGCTTGTGAATGACTGACTGAGGAGCAACAGCCCTGGAGACAATGGCATCACAATCTTACTGGCTATTTATGACTTGCAGCTTGCAATGTTTAGCACATGTTCTATATAAAAATTTTCTTTTTGAGAGGGCAGCCTTATGACACCAGAGTTGCGGTTCAGATCCCCATAATGGCCAGCGCCAAAAAAAAGAAGAAAAATTTTTTTTTCTTTTTGGAAAAAATAATGTGAAATGCAATCATACATTTGGCTCTGAGAACAAGTAGTTATCCAGACCCTAATTAAAAATACTACTACTAGTAATATGGCCAATGTTGAGGGAGTGTTTACGAGTGTCGAGCTCTGGGGTAAGCCCCACATGTATATGACTTACTCATCACAGTACCCTGTGAGGCTGGCACTATTATCTTCCACCTCTTACAGGGAAAGACCTGAAGCTCGGGGAGGCTAATGCACTTGGCCAAGGTCAAGGAGCAGCGAGTGAAGCAGCTGGGGTTGGAACCTCAGAGAGCTTTCTACTTAGCTACTGGACTTAAAAAATATCAAGGTGTGTGTGTCCATAGAACCACTGCAGATGTCAGCAACTGATGATAAACTGATTGGAGAGGCCATGTGGTAGACTTAACCAAGAGAGGCGCAGTAGCTGCCCATACTGCTGCTGGCTGCAGTGGTAGGTACTGCAGCCTGTACTGCAGGGAGAACACAAAATCATCCCCTTCCCTTCATCCAGAAAACGGGAGTGACGAGTCAGGTTGTGACCGTGAACTCCCTCCATCTACCCACCGCATGCCAGGAGAGGCTTGACTGTGGCTACCCTTGTCCTATGCAATGAAGACTCAGGGGCTGCTGACTTAGATTTATAACTCTTCAATAATTGACGGAACCAAAAATGAATTAAAAACCCTCTGGGACGAATCCAACTGGCTTTCCCAGAAATAGAAGAGTATTTGTGGAGTCTGTTTCTGTAAAATCTCATTAATTTTTCAATGATCCCAATATGCACAGCACTGACTGCAAACTGGGGCATACACTTGTGCAAGTTCCTTTCATTGAGTGAGCTGTTTCCTAAGCCATATCAAGTTATAATTTTACTGTTGTAAAGCATCACTATATTAGGATTGCTTTGTGGTTTTTTTGCAGAACTTATTAACTATTGGCAATTAGTGCTGCTTCTCTGCACAAAATGGCACCACTTGGCATGTTTTGTAGCCAATTCTAAGGATGTGATGACATCATTTACATTTCATGTGCCATCTGCCTTTATGTAAAGATGAAGTAGAATGAAGTGAGGCTTCAGCCATTTCTAGCTTTCTTAGCTACAGGAGGCTTCGTTAAAACAGAAATGACAATATGCAACACTCACCGCTCCTCTCTTGGAGAAAGGCCATCTTGGCTTTTTGGATTCTGGTGGGCGAAATGAAAGCAAATGTATTATTACTTTGAGTAACTAGTGACAGATCATTGAGTGCTTTACAAAAATTACTTTTTGAAAATAATCTAAACAGAAGCTTTAATTCTCCTTCTCTTGAGAATGCACAAAATGAATATTTGTATTTTTGCAGATAAGTGAATGACACAATGTTGCAACCTAAATGTTGGTGTTCTTTGCTGCCTTAAGGTGATATTGTCCTGTTTCTTTATGAGAGTATTGCTTAGCCTCCTTTTCCCCATCACTTGGGAAGAAATCCATAAACTGTAATAAAGATGTTGAGTAATTCATTTAAGACAGAGAATCTTAGAACCTTGGGGCTGACAGGACTAGCCCTTCATTTTTATACAGATCTATCATAAACCATCCCATTACGTGCAACTTCAATAGTCTGACCAAACTTGGGATTGGAGACTGAATCAACCCAATAATCTCCAGTTGTGGTTAAATGAATGCTCCTGAAATAGGGAACACATGTCACCAATCGTTATGCTGGTACTTGTTGCTCTTGGTTACCATCCACACAGTCCTTGGGAGCTGCTTTGAGTTGAGAAGGAATATGTCACTCATTCTTTAGATGATGAGGAAATAAAGAGATTAGATTCCGGCCCCTTGATTTTTATTGATGCTGTTTGCATCAATTTGTAATGCTACCCAGAAAAGGATGGGCATCATCTCTTAGGTGTAGGTGGGATGTTCTGACCACTCAGTATACAAAACAGATGCCTCACAGGTCTATCTCTCTTTCTATTAGAATCACCAGAAGTCTGTATGATCCTTCAGTCAGACAGAAGCAATCACCTGAGCAGCACTTACTGCAAAGGATGTGTTTTAGGCACCTTTCTCATGGGAACCTTGGAAGGTACCTGCCGACCGACTATCCTCTCACTCATTCTGACCACCTTCCTGATCTTCATAAAGGGATGATTAGGTAGAATCTCCCTTAGGGATAGATCAGCTGTACCACACTTAGCTCTCAAATGCCTGGTAGTAAATTATTATGTCCAATTTGAACTGCAAACATCGGGGTCCCTGGACCTAGGCAAATTTCTCTCCTCTGCTTTACTAACTTGGGGATAATTTTGGGGTCTTGGGAAAGCTTTGCAAGACTACAGTGGGCGACTCAGGCAGGCTGGTGGCAGGGCACCAGACCGGCAGTCAGGAGCCTGGATTCCATTCCTGTGACACAATCCAGCTGACACCACGACTAGGTCACTTCTTTCTGGGTCTCACTTTGCACATATGCAGATGAGGAATGAGTGTGGTAGTTTTCAAACTGTTTTGTCAGGTGTTCAAGGCTTCTGGGGATACCTGGAGGTGAGTCTTTGGGACTCACCCCAGTTCTAGCATTGCGACTTCACCTGGATCTGTTTGATACACTGAATTTCCAAGTCACGAGTGTTTTCTAAAAAGTGCTCTGCTAACAATAAAACCAGTTTAAAAACTGTCAACATGGATAAACTTTAAGTCTCCTTTTAGCTCTCAACCGTACCTATTTGCAGAATCATAAGGAAATCATGATTCCTCTTTTCTTTCACAGCTGAAATGAGATGCAGAATATTCACCCCATGGCTGCCTTACTCTGTCAGACACTAATCTGCCACCGACACGTCTGCCCCACATGGTACCACCCTAGTCGGAAGATACCAGTGTGAGGCTGAAGACCAGGAGTGAGGTAAGGAAATCATGATTCCTCTTTTCTTTCACAGCTGAAATGAGATGCAGAATATTCACCCCACGGCTGCCTTACTCTGTCAGACACTAATCTGCCACTGACACGTCTGCCCCACATGGTACCACCCTAGTTGGAAGATACCAGTGTGAGGCTGAAGACCAGGAGTGAGATGGGAGATAAGCTTTACAGCAATGGTGGGGAAGCTGCCCACCAGCCTGCAAAGGGCACTCTGATCCGAGATGGTCACCATCACTGTGCACCTGTCCCAGGTTCTAGACTGGGATAAATTATTTGACAAGAGGACAGTTTGAGGGAAGACCCATGCCTTACCCATTTCTGCACATGGAATGCCCAGTACCAAGACTAGTATTCAGGTGGTTCCAGTAATTCACGGCTGGTGCCTATTCTAAATGGTAAGACTTTGGTTCTAACTGGTGAGTGCATGTGTTCTAGTAGTTATGAAGTATTTTGAAAATCCCGCCCTGCTTCTGACAATATCCTTCCCATAGCAGGCATGTCATGAAAGTATGCTGAATGATCAGGACCTGGATTCAGCAGCAGGAGTGGATGGCACAAGTAATCGGCAGCTCCATCAGACACCAGAAGGTCCCCGGGGAACACGTCAAGTCCAGGTAAGTTCAGCACCACCGAACTCCGTCTGTGCTCGTAGAATCTGTGCTTGAGAGATGAAAGGAGCAAGCTTAGAGCCAGGCACAGGCAGGTTTATTGTGACCTCTGTTCATGCAGAAGTGGCTGCTAGCTGTCTGATGCTTGCTCTCTTGGGAAGGGCTTGGAGGCCACTCCAGGCCCCAGGCACAGGAGGGCTGGGATGACACCCATACCACAAATTTTCTTGCCACCTGTTTGAGCCTTATTGATCTTTTATAATCTTAACTAATCCAAAGCAGAAGAGCTCACCTAGAAATGTCAGCACAAATGAACCCTACCTGTCCTGACTCAGAAGGGTACTTGGAGAAAGACCTCAAACACAGAGGTCCTTGCAAATTATGTGCACTGCCCTGGAGGTGAGCAGCGTGCATGGCGGTGGCCACCGGTACCCCTAGTGATCCCAGGCTGGTTGTCTAAAGTCAGCACTTTTATTTTTCCCAGAGAAGAATGAGAAATAGTATTGGGAAAGCTTAGTAAATAGGACTATCTACTTTCTACCCTGTTTCATGAAACTTCTTGTCTGTTGGATGCTGTTGGGAAAATAGAATAGTTTGGTCAGGGCCCTCGCGTCAGGTCCAGTTGGGTGTGGTTTTAGCATGTCCTTTGTAATCAAATTGGGTGTGTGTGTGTGTGTGTGTGTGTGTGTGTGTGTGGAGTTAGTGTGCATGCATGCCAATGTATCTTTTTAGTTTTGTTGCTGTTCTTGTGTTCTTCAGAGAGAGAGAGAGAGAGAGAGAGAGAGGAGTTTTAGTGAAGCAGGTGGGCGGGCGTCTGTTTTGGGTGTCCACCCTGTGTGGCCACACTTTCCAACCTATGGCTCCAGGGACCTTTTGGCCGGTTACCTAGCTCATAGACCTGCATGTAAGGGAACTGGTGACCTAGCCTGGTGTGTGAAGGGTCTGGGGACCCAGCCTGGCATGTGAAGGGTTTGTGACCCAGTCTGTGAACAGGCTTGAGGGGTCTGTGAGCTCCAGACCCAGCCCTAGCTAGGCAATTGGCCCAGTTGGTACAGGATTACTGGCAGGTAAAAGAGCCTGACAACTAGCATGGTCGTGTAGCTAGACAATTGGTGTCACGAACAGAATTAAGAGCTAGACAATTGGCGCTCTGAGCAGGATTCCAGACATTAGCCCTAGCCTGAGCGCCACAGATGTTCACAAAATAAATAGTTGATGTTTCAGACCCAGCGGGGAGCAGCTCCAAAGCCACTGGGCATTTTCTCAGTGACCTCTAAGGAGCCAAAGCAGTAAGGGGTCTGTAGTGCTGGGAACTTGCCTGATAACACTGAATTGTAGGGATTCACGTAGCTTCCCCACCAGAGCTGTTCAAATATTCCTTTGGTCTATTCTAAGGGATGGGAGATGCAATTTCTTCTATTTATTGACCAATGTAATCTCTAAATTCTTTTTTTTTCTTTAAACCAACAAATAGTCATTAGCGTATAGGTTACTTTATTAAGAGAGAAATTTTGTCTTGATCTAGCAGCAAAAGCATAGCTATGGAATTGCCTGGAAAGTAGAGCCCAGGTTTGTCACACCCTTTTGAATATTATGATTTTGTCTGTTGCCATGCAGTGCCCTCACCCCCAAGGTGGCCATGCTTGGGGCCCCCAAAGTCTCCTTAGCCCTGTCCTTCTTCTGCTCCTTCCTATCCCAACTATCTACTGCTCAAGTCCTACCAGGCTTTGTAGCCAAGTCTCCTGGCTCTGACCTTCTACTTGAGTGACGGTCTTTCTGCCTGCACTTTAGTCTCTTGCCTCTCAATTGTGCATTCTGGGATCTCATGCCCTCTTTCTTGTCAATATGTCTGATGTTGTGGTCCTGGTCATGCCCTGTCAGCTCATCATGCCGCCGCCTACATCTGGTGGACATTCTCAACCCCTGTGGAATTTATTATAAAAACCCATCCCTGAGTCCCACTCCTGAGACTCTGATTTGGCAGCTCTAAGGTGGGCCCCTGCGTCTGTAGTTTCACCCAGCTGCCTAGATACGACCTAGACTTGGAGAACAACTAATTTTGAGGTTATAATTACCTTGATACAGGCCTTTCTTACTTTTATATTTTAAGGATTATTTCCAATTTTCAGCCTTTGGCTAAAACGTTTTCCAGATCATTTTACTTAAGAATTGTAGAGCAGCGGGGCCGGCCCGGTGGCGCACTGGATAAGTGCGCCGCTTGGGAAGCACGGCGGCACTCCTGCCCGAGGGTTCGGATCCCACATGCAGACCGGTTCCTGCTCACTGGCTGAGCGAGGCGCGGGAGTGACACAGAGGGTTGCAATCCCGTTGCCGGTCCCCGGTCTGGTACGGGGGCAACACTGAGGGTTGCGATCCGTTGCCGGACACGGAAAAAGACAAAAAGACAAAAAAAAAAAAAAAAAGAATTGTAGAGCAGGTTAGTTAGAAAATCCTAATTAGTAAATAACCTATGTCCCATGAGTTTCTACTGAATATATGAAATAGGGATGCCTCACACTCTGTAGACAGATGCTGTAGGCATAAAAGAAAGCAAACCTTCAATTATAAAAGGCTGCTTCCTCCAATAAATCTTCCCTGATACTCAAAGAAGTAACTCTTCATGTCTATGCCTTCCTCTGTGTCCCCACTAGATCAGTCCCTCAGCATCTTCCACCTGTATTAATGCAGTCACCTCTTAACTTGTTTCTTCCCACACACAGTCACCAAATGTGAGGGATCCAAAATTTAAGTCTGACCTCGTTCCTCCCTGACTTACCATGCTTCAGTGCCTCTTCATCTTGTGCCAGATAAACACAGTTTTGAAGCATACACGCAAGCCTTCCATGATCTGGCCCATTTACCTTCCTGCTATTCCTTACTTTGCAATTCATTATCTGGACACAGGGAATGGATGGTAATTCCCCATGTAAAATAGGGTTTCACCTCTCAGTGCCGTAGCTGGGAATGCTTTGCCCCCTGCTTGCCCTCCCCAAGCCTAACTCCTACTCACCGCCTGAGTCTCAGGCCCATGGATTATCTATGAGTATTAAGCAGCAGAGAAGGATAATACATAAGTAAAATTGGGCTCAGCTTTATTCAATTATCTATATTCCCTGGGGATCTGCCATCTGTTTCACCTGCCCTTATATATGTTATGCAATCTGGTATCATGAGTTTGGTGGTTTCCTAAGATTCTATAAACTACCTTTACATTCCCTGGAGACCTCAGAGAACACAGAATTACTAGTAGAGTAGAGGAATTTGTCTTCCCCAGTACCCTCTAGGTTGGCTTATGTGTTTCTCTTCCCTGCTTCTGTAATTCTCTGGTGTGGTAATTGAAATGTGGGGTCGAATTGCCTGGATTTTAATCTTAGCTGTGTGACTTTGCTTGAACAAATTAAGTAAGCTCTCTGGACCTTACTTTGCCATCTGTGAAATGTAGGCAATAATAATATTGTGTAAGGATGGACAAAGTTAATTTAAAGCACCTAGATCAGTGTTTGGAATTTAGTGAGCAGTCCATAAATGCAATTATGTCAACTATTTAATGTATTATAACATGATATTCCATTTATGTGTCTGTTTATTCTGCTTAGACCTCCAGCTTCCCAAGTACAAGAAACATGTCTTATCACTTATGTTGGTAGGTGCTAATTTAGAATTTAATTCATTGTTACTGATAAACATGAATGAATGAAATAATCTTCTGATGTCCTCCCTCATGGGAACTGTGTTACTTTATAAGGTCATTTTGTAGATTCATGTCTTATTTCCCCTATGACCCTAAGCTCCTAGCTCCTGGTGTAAATCCCTCTACTTAGTGAGTGCTCAGTAAACACTCATTAAGTAAATGTAACAATAACCAAACCCTCACACACTTAGAGTGATCACTGTCATTTCCCGACATGAACTCCTGCAGAATGTGTCCTGCAGTAACAGCTAGCTGCCTAGGTGCACACTGTTCTTTAAACATACTCTGTCCTTCACACCTCCACACCTTGGCTCAGGTAGTTCCCATCTGCCGGCCTCTTTCCACCTTGTCTGCCTGC